TATATATATATTTATTATATTATTTATATTATATTATATATATATATTGTTATGTTATTTATATTATATATATCAAAACATATTTAAAATATTTATTTATTTTAAGTAAATTTATTTTTCAAAAAATACTGTTATATATAAAAAATTTCGGGGATAAAGGTCCCCGCGGGGAACCCATCCCCGTCTAGGATTGGGAATGGAGGACAAAATTTATCCTCGACGGGGATCGGGGACGGGGACAGGGGTTACTTTTATAATCGAGGACAGGGATGGGGGTTATGATCCCCGCCCTGTTGCCATTCCTACTCTATTATGAACTTACTAATCCATTTTTCCTTCTTTAAATGTTCCATCACCCTGCACTGTCCATTGGCTTTTGCTACAATCACTGGCTCTTGCTCCATGTTTCCAGACACATTGGCTTTTGATACACCCCTTCTTCCCTCCCTGGACTCCCCTTTGTTACTTTTACTCCATGGAGCAAAAATTCCTCAAGCACACTACTCACTTCCCTCCAACCTTGACTCTGTCTTCCTGCTGGGAAAAAACCAGCTGTTTCTTTCCTCCACCAAAAAACTCAGCCAGAGCTATGTAGCAACCCTTTGCATTCTTTCTGCTTTCAACTATATATTTCTTACCTTCATTAGCTGCAATCTCTTGCCTGTTGTTTTGCTTACCTTTCAATCTTGCCCCTTCCACAAACTTCTGCAGCCACTCCAATACTTCTATCCTAGTCAACAGAACCATAGCCCTCCTTGCTTCCCATATCTTCAGACTCAGCTTTCCTCTACCTTTCTCTTCCTCAAACAAGAACTCCTTAGCTTCAACTTTCAGATTTCTTCTCCACTGACCTGCCTCCACAAAGCTTTCCTCCATTTCTTTTCCTCAGCCTTTCCCTACTAAGGAAGTGGGTGTTGGCCTACTCCTACCAAAATTAGAGCCTTTTGTTAGGAAGTGTACCATTGGAAGATCAACACCATGGGCACGCTACAAAAAAGAAGACCCTTCTTTTTCTTTTCCCCAAATCGGTGCACCCTATGTAAATACAATGAAGAAAATTGTTACCACTTACTAATATCCAACCCCTTTGTTGCATATTTATGGGATTGGTTTTTCTCTTTTAATGGTTGCAGGTGGTCTTTGCCAACGAAGGTAGATAAGATTTTTGACCCTTCGACCTTTGTTTGGCCTAAAAGGAGGGAAAGGATTATGTGGAGAAGTGCTAGAGCAGTGATAATATGGACTCTCTGGGAAGAAAGAAATAACAGAATTTTCTAAGGAAAGGAGATCTGCATAGAAGCAGTAAGAGAATTGGTAAGGGTGATGCATTGGCTTAGGACCATTGATTCTTTTTCGTCTTGGTCCTTTGATGATATTTGGAGAAATTGGGGGTAGTGACTAGAAGTTCTTCCAAAAAAGAAAAAGGAAAAGAAAAGATTATGGAAACCCACAGTTGTAGACTTCGTGAAATTAAATTTTGATGGGAGCAGTCAAGGCAACCTGGGCCCTTCAGGTATAGGGGGTGTTAAGAAATAAAGAAGGGATTATCATTGCACTTTCTTCCGGTCCTGTGGGAGTGGGGGATTCCATCAAGGCGGAATTGCTTGAGGCTATGAGAGGACTACAAATTGGAAGTAAGATGGGCCTAACAAATGTAGAAATTGAATGGGACTCAAAACTGGTGATAGGATGGCTGAAGGATCCAGAGTCTATAATATGGTGTCTTAGGGACAAGATGAAAAGGTTTAAATGGATAACCAGAAACATGAACTTGAAAACTTCTTGGGTTAGGACTCATCAGAAAAAGAATATTTCTTGGATTAAGAGAACAGCTAATGCTATGGCAGATGGGTTAGCTAAACAAGGGGTTAATAGGAACAATTTGTATTGGGCCCAGTTGTAATTGTTTTGATACTTTTTTTTATAAAATTTGTGTGAGAGTTAACACCTCATGCCTCTCTATGGGATGCCTGTAATACTAATTCTCTTTGATTTTTAATAAATACTTGTTTACTTATCAACAAAAAAGAGTGAGGTCAACAATCTCACACAGGGGGAGAGATCATTCTCCTTGTATTTATCTACATTAAATCTCTTTGGCAATAGATTGATCACCCAGAGACTGTAGAATGGCAGAGTCCTAGGGATGCTATCACCTACAAGAAGCTGGTGAAGCAAAGCTGAGTATTTGAATTCTAGCTGGATTAAAACAAGAGTATGACATTACCATGCAACATATTCTTGATAGAGATGAAATCACTCTACCTCAGGCTTATTCCATCATGCATAGTGAAGAATACAGAAGTATGATGTTACAACTTACAAGTGTCATCTCCTAGTTATATGGCCCATGTTTCTATTAAGCCCAAGACTCCAATTATGCCAGTAAATCGTGGGGGTGAGGATACAAAGGAAGTTGTTTATGAGCATTGTAAGAAACCAAAACACACTAAAGAGACATGCTGGAAATTGTATCCTAATTTGAAGCCTTCGAGGCTCATAAATCCCAAGATTCCAATACGAACTTGGTAGCTACTAGAGATGAGTCAAGGACTTCATTTGCTCCCACATCGATATTAGGGTCATTGATGCTTCCTTCCCCAAAGATTACTGTTGTTGCCAAAGTAGAGTTTGAGAAGTACATGAGCTAGCTAAAGTGCTAAAGAGTGCAATGGGGAATATGGATCCAAGAACATGTCCATCAGTAATTGCTTACACAAGTAGACATGCAATTACAACATTGCTTCCATTTCAAGTAAGGATGGCATTCCATGGATTATAGATACTAGAGATTTTGATAATATGCCCAATGTGCCATTACTTTTTCACTCAGAAATTATGTTCTAGTAAAGACGAAGTGTCTAACAGTTCCCTTGCCACTATTTCTGGGAAAGGGAACATTAAAGTTGTTTTTTAACCCTTTCTTCAGTTCTTCTATGCAAGTTGAAATCAAATTTATTATCTGTTAATAGCCTCGCAAAAAATCTTAGTTGTTCTTTGTTCAATAACACTTTTCCCAATTACTGAGTTTTCCAGGATCTAGAATCTAAAAGGACAATTGGAAGTAACCATGAGGTGAACAAATGGGATATGATTTCTAGATATACCACCTAGAGATGGAGTCAGCCTAATCAGTTTTCTACTTTTGAGTCAATTTCTTTGGAGCATGGTTCAAAGTATCAATAGACCCTGATACACCAGAAGGGGTGTATCAACACTTTGAACCTTGCACTTCTTTTTTTTAGTTTTTTTTTTTAATTTCACAAGTCTTTTTTTATGTTATCAAATTATTTAAAAAAAATAGCCTTTAAAAATAACTTGAAATAAGTGCATCAGTACCCCAAAGATACAAGACGATATATGCCTGACATGGGGCATATCATATTGATACTTTGAACCTAGCTTGTTTTGGTAAAGCTGCATTCATTAAAACAGAAACAACAAGAGCAACAAACACCAATACAAACACAGAAAACCAAAGGAGGCTACAAAAAACTACAGCAAAGGAAAAACAAAGGAAAGAAACTAATCCTAAGAGGGGCCAGAAGCCCAATCATCCATTACAGTATCCGAAAACCACAAAGGGAAACAGTCATCCATTGCTAAAGCCAAGCTAAGACCACGCCTAGCCAACTTGTGAGCAGCAGTGTTAGCCTCATGAGGAGCCCAAGAGAAAATAATAGACCTACCTCTGCATAGAGCTTTAATGTCTTTCAACAAAAACAGAATATCTTGATGACACACATCCAGAGCTGAGTTTAGGCAGCTCACTAAATAAAGATTATCTAATTCAACCAAAACGATCACTGGGTTCTTAGACAACACCATTTTTAAAGCTTCAAAAAGGGTTGCGGATGCTTTGGCATGTTCAATTGGGAAATTTGTCTATTCATTTGTTGAGTCAACTATTTCCTAATTTATTCAGGTTATTGAAACTGTCTAGTCTACATTGTAATATATGAATAGTTATTCCCTAATTTATTCAGGTTGGTAAAACTGTATGCATTGTGACACGTGAATAGGTAGAACCTACTCCTTAGACCGGAGAAACCTTGGCTGTTTGGGAGCTTCCTGCACATGGCACATTACCCCACTCGGTTCCATGTCTTTTTGGCTAAAAGAATATTGGTTACCCCACACGAAGATCCAAAACAGCCCAGGCTGTTTTTTTCAAACAGCCAAAGCCCCCCCCACTAGAGCTGCTATGTTACCCTGCTATTACATTTTTTACTTTGAAAATCTTTTATACTGCCACAACATTTAACCATCACTTCATAAGTATATTGCCAAAATGATGTAGGAATAGCTCAATTCGAGTCCTTAGAGAATGTTGAATGGTCTTCTTTGATCAGAAATTTATGGTTGTTGATGGTTGTAATGGCTTCTTAAAGGAACAAGAAAGAAAATAGGGATAGAAAGAAGAAAGAAAATACACGGAATCACTCACGGGGTGCCTAGAATCACTCTAGGGTATGGGAATCACTCATCATAATTAGCATAAGCTGAACAAACTCAATAAGCTTCATTGCTCTTTGTATAAAACGCCCATACATATTTATAGACTCTAAACTCATAATAATCCTAGGAGTCAAACTGTTAGACTCGATAATCCTAGTAGGACTCAAACTAAGCTGGCATATCCTATTTCAATTCAAAGAAGACTCAATAACTCTAATCCTACTTAACTCTGAAATTTTAAACATAAACAAACTATAAATATCAAACCCTATTATTGGACCCTATTGAAAAATTGTAAAATGGCAAAAATATCCCTGGGGTCCAAAATTACAGAAATACATAGAATTTCACAAAATTCCAATTTTGACTCTTCAGCTCCTGCACCACAAAATTACAGAGAACATGGAATTACCTGAAAAAGTAAGCTTGAATATGATACAACTCTATACCCTGATATTACATTTTTTTACTTTGAAAATCTTTTATACTGCCACAACATTTAACATCACTTCATAAGTGTGTTGCCAAAATCATGCAATTACCTGAAAAAGTAAGTTTGAATATGATACAACTTTGACTCCTGTTTTTGATGGAAGTGATGGCATTTGTCCATCTAAACCCCCAACAATCTGTGACAAAGAGAAAGCATGTGAAAACCAACAAAACTGCAAAATCTGCATGAGGCTTTCTTTTAGCTTGTTCAAAATTCAATGAAATACAAGGGGAAATGATCAAGTGAACTCCATACCACCATTAAACGAACTGATGGGATCTCAGACAAGAAACTCAGCAACTGCAAGTTCCCAATCAGAACATAAGAAATGTTGCAGAAGCACAGTTTGAACAAATAATGCATGAATGTCAGACAAAAAAAAAGAAATGAGACATGGAAATAAGTAATTAGTAAAGCCGTATGAACTACTTTGGCGGGTTAGAGTTTCTGAAACAACAAAATACCAACATCAAAAATTAAAAAAAAAAGTCAAGATAATTCTAAATTCTAATCAAATTTTCTTCCCAGCATATGAGAATATTCACTTACTACCCCAAAGGAAATATTAAAAGACATCCCAACAACAGCAATCAAAAATGAAACAGAAATGGAGTATGAACAAAAAAGAGTATAATCCTGTTATTCTGTCTCACCCCAAAAACTACAAGGAGAAAAACATATAATGTAAATAGAAGACTTGGAATTTTCTTTGTAATCCCAACAACAGCAAGGAAAGAGTAGTTTGGGCATCAGCAGACTTGAAATTTTCTTTGTAATTCTGAGTTTCTGACTGTATTCTAATGTAAATAGAAGACCCTGATTGTACTCTTATCTTTTCCTCTTGTTCAGATTTTAAGCAATAGGTCATCATCATCACGCATGCATGCATGCCTTGTCCCAACTATACGGGGACATAATCCTGTTTCGCAAATCAATTCTATTTAAAAACATATCCACTGTGAAATTATTATTGCTTAAATCATTTCTTACTACTTCTACCCATGTCCTTATTGGTCTACCCCTACTACTTCTACCCATCACTTTTTCCAACTGGAGCTATTACTGGTCTTTTATGCATGTGACCAAACCATCCTAACCTACTCTCTCTCATTTTATCACTTATAGGAGCTACTCCTAAGTTTCTACAAATGGATTCATTCTTGATCCTATCCTTTCTAGTTTTTCAACTCATCCATCTTAGCATTCGCATTTTGTTAGATAGTTGTATGCCCTTAGCTTCAATCAGAAATATATACATTATGAATTTATTGTAAATGAATAAAGTACACATTTGATTCATGTTCCTGTGGTGTGT